TACAATTCTGTTTGTTAAAATATTTGAAGGTGATCTAACTGCACTGATAAAGTCATGTGTTTTTAGAATAAGAAAAGTTATGAAAAAAATGTAAATGAACACTTGGCCATATGATAACATGAATGGCTAATCAGTGTTTAATGAAGCTTCTTTAATCCAAATGATCCAGTAATTTGTGGACAAAAAAAAAACCCATGCATGCATCACTCAGCTTGTTTTTGATTTGTCATATTACACATGCTATAGGGAAAACAACGTAAAGTGAAATACTGTAGATTTTACATACATTATAGCTCTGTCACTGGTATTATTATATTTAGTGCTGAAACTGTTAGCTGATGAATCGATTAGTTGATTGACAGACAAGTATTGGTATTAGAAGACAACTGTCCTGATTATCGATAAAGGCTCAAGTCATTTATCAAGCAAAGCTCCTGAACTCTTGCAGCAAGTGGAAACATTTCCTCTTATTCTCCATTGCATATCCTAAATAAAATATCGTTCGGTTTTTGGTTGATGGTCGGACAAAACAAGCAATTTAAAAGTCACAGCATGCTCTGGGAAACTGTAACAGGTTTTTTTTTTTTTATATAGTATTTGCTGTAATTTTATAGACTAAATGATTAATCAACTAATGAAAAATGTAAAACGGATTCATCGATAATGAAAATAATCATTAGTTGCAGCCCTCATTATGTTAAGTGTTAACATAAAGTTAGAAATGGACAAAATCTGTTGATGTTTCATGGATTCAAACGAATATAAATCGTTGGGTTCAGTGAAAGACATCTCCTTCCATTAGCCTAGAAGGTAACTATCATATCAGTACATTATTTTGAAAGTTAGCTGTGACCTGTTCTCACAATCCCTGTATTTTGGCCAAAGCCGTGGTCTATGTTGTATCAAATGCAGCCTGCAAAAAAATCAGGCTTGAACTCAAAGTGTAACAGAAACAACAGATGCAGCCTGTCATCATTTGGAATGTAACATAAGCTGATTCTTTACGAACACCTACACTTTATGAGCAAATATTTCCTACAGTGTTGTCTCATTATTGTTTCCACATTTTGGCCAAAAGACGAATAATCTTTTTGAGACACAGCAATGATTCACAGCCAACGTAGAGAAGAAGCACTGTTGGTCAAACCATGTTACAAACAACTGTGAAATTTTAAGGCAAGGTTTCATGTTTTAATTCAATCCCCAGAAAACATCCACTCTAGAAACCAGATGTGGTGGCTACATGGGGAAAAAGGACATTGATGTTTTTTTTTTTTTCTCCCTGAATTTCGTTAGGTGAACAAAAAGAATCTTTAGTGAAAAGTCTTGCATCTTTTTTCCAAGGGTCACTCAAACACGGTGTGTGAAATGAGAGTTGCCTGGGTGTGACTTTTCCAGAAAGCATCCGCTCGCTATTGTCTGCCTAGTCAACTTCTGCAGGCCCCAGTGCCCTGACTTCCATACATGAGAGATCAAGGGTTACCAAGGTGCTATTGAGAAAGGAGTGCTCAATGTGAGAGGGGACAAACCAGTCCACAAAATACTCATTTCCTTTGCATGTTAGGTGCCCTAGTGGGGATTCAGACGGGGTCACTGACACAGTTACTGGGGTTGAGTTTTTTTTTTTTTTTTTTTTTTTTTTTTTTTTCTTCTTCCATGGTTGTTCTTAATGAAAACTGTTGCTCGCCTTTTCAGTGGCTGGTGACTGCAATCTGCAGCTTGTACAGTATGTGGCTTTATAATACGCTGAGTTTGCCCAAAAGAAAGTTTGTTCAGACTCTGGCTGTTTATCCGGTGCCAGACAGAGGCACCTCATGTAGAAAAGGTAAAAGTAGTTCTGTCCACCTCTCATTCTTGCCAAAAAGTTCAGTCACTGAGCCACGGCATTAACTTGTATTCTAACAAGATTAAAATATATTCGTCCTGGGGATTAGCATAGTTAGGTGTCCTTTTGCCTTTTTTTTTCCTGCACTGGTGCGGTGACAGTGGGCTTTGATCTGTGTTGCGAGGCAAGAGTCCTGGCTTGGACCTAGCCATTCGAGTGCCAAGTGTGAAATTGGCCTGATGTCATCCCCATTCTTCACCTTTTACATCTTTCACCACTTTAATTATGTTTCCGCCACAAAGCCCAGGCACCTCTGAGCAGATTCCACTCTGGCCGTAGGAAGCATTTAAAACTGTGGGTAAATGACACAGTAGGGGAGGGGGAGGATGGTAGGAGAGGTCATAGCAGGATGGGGCCCTTTTGTGTTTAGAGGTAGACATTGATACTTTCCTGATGTATCCTGCGCTCACTTCCATTTTTACAGCATGAGAACTTTGTGAAATTGTCAGCAATACTGCAGATGATAACTTTTATTCCAGGAATTTTTACACTTTCTATATCCTGTTCTGGAAGAGAGGTTTATTTCCTGTGTCATCTACACAGATGACTCATGATTTATACTGTCACATATTATCTTTTGACAGCAATGCAAGGCTTTTTGGTTGCAGTTAAGAGCCCTGATCAGCAACCACTTGAGGTCACTTGACCACCTGAATCTCACTGTCAGAGATGAGACAAATGATTCTCAGATGAAAGCTTTTGTTCCAGGAGAATGTGCCCGTGCAGCCTTTACAGCTTTAGCTATTGTTCATGCATTGGTGTCCCTATCTGAACTTCAGGGAGCTTCTCTGCCTGTGAATATTTTGATGAAGGTTCCTATTGATGCGCTGAATGAAGGACCAAAACAACAGGGGTATGTGCGAATGTGAGGAGGAACAAAAATGAATGAAATATGTTGGTGTGTGTGGGGATGTGTGTGTGCCAGGCAAGAATATAATAAAACCAAGTGATAGTAAGTGTGTGTGTGTGTGTGTGTGTGTGTGTGTGTGTGTGTGTGTGTGTGTATAAATGTGTGTGTATGGAGGAGAGAGAGAGAGAGAGCGTACGAGTTAGTGAGTGAGAAAGCTGTGTGTGGAGAATGGGTTACTGCAGGGTGGGAGGGGGGAAACCAGCCACCTGCAGCCATGACAGGCTTTGACCTTCATTGCTCTCTCTCTCTCTCGCTCTCCCTCTCTGTCCCTCACCCCCTCCCTCCCTCTCTCTCTCTCTATCTCTCTCTCACTCACTCTCCTTTTCGACTCCCATTTCTGCCTTGTGATAGAAGCACAGGCTCTTTTCAGAAGCGGCGAGGAGGACTGACCGTCGTGAAGACACTGCTGGGAGCAGCCCTATCTGCTCTAATGGGTAGTCACTGGCCGTTAGACATGGCGTTCAAAGACTAGTGGTGCAAGTATGGAAATGCAGATAAGGCATTGTTGAGGAAACATGCCTGGGAATTGTTCAAGGCTTTCCCTTGCATAATGTTGATGCTTGCTAAATGTTTTAATCTCAAAACCCGTGAATTTGATCCTCCATGAATCTCATCCCGGACTGCCCATAGAATGAGTGGGTGTTTGTTATGCTATGCAAATTAACAATGCTTGTGATCAAATTTGTGATTATTTGACTTCTTGCAACATTTATTTAAAACTATCATTGTATGTATTTCTCTTCTGGACAATTTTAGCCAGTAATGCAATTGTTGTTTTCAGGCCTGCAGAAGCTCAGCACTGATTGAAGGTCACGTTTGCTGCTTTAGCCAGACCTCATTTTTTTTTCCTGCAGTTTTAACCTTTGCTTCATATAAACGTGCCAGAAACTTTGTGTATAATCTTCAAGCTTTATTTACTCTTCTTTTGCAGTTTTCAGGAGGCAGTTAATTACACAATTAATACATGATACAAATTATGTACATTTATACCAAAGAATACTTCCAACATAAAATAAAAAATAGCATTGTATTCTACAACTCTGTGTTGTAATTTTATTTAAACATGTTCATATATAGATAGATATACGCTGATGAGTAAATTCATAATGTCGTACCAGCAGTTTTCATAAAGGCATTAAACTTGAATAGTCTGCATTTGAAGTAATACTGCTTCTCTGATTCGGCACAGTTCTGTTTCATAAAAAGTTCACACTTGAACTTTAAGGCAAAGTGTGTTTCTGTTTGGTGGATTTTAATTCACACACACTTTTTGCAGATACACAACAAAAACACTTTGAAAGGCAAAAAGTCCACAATTTGGTATGGATACAGTCTAAAACTTAGCTCGATCATACTTTCGTCGATACAGACCAAAGTTTATAAACACAGTTATTTGCCCAAGTACAACAAATTGCAGCTTTCATGCAAAGGCCCCATAAACTATTTTTCATTCACAAAAAAAAAAAAAGAAAGAAAACAAAAAGAAGTTATTGCAAGATAAACAAGCAGTGTAAACACCTCAGATATCTACTCTAAAGCAACACTGGTCATTGGATAGATTTTTTTCTCAATATAATCTATATAAATACACATATGAAGTCCTTTCAACAACGATAAGATTTCCAACATTTGTAATACAGTCACTGACGGATTTGCCTTCTTTTATGATATATGGATATGTAATAAAAATGTATATAGAGAAAGATTTAACAAGAACATCCAATAACCTGCATTTATAGTCTATACTCAAGAGTGCGCAAAATGGTTGTCATCATTGTCTTTATGCTACAGAGTTGTTTCTGTGACTTTATGGGCAGCATTATAGCCTCGAAATCATTTAGCTACAAAAAAATGACTCATATTGCTATTTAAAACTATAATAGCTGCACTGATGCATTGGTATAACGAAGGGAATACGCGCATAATAGTTGTTTAAAGGCTATGAGACGACCACATACATAGAAACAAGGCTTAAGTCAGCATTTTAGTGAAGTGGCGTGTTAGAAAAAATCGCTACCTCTCTCAGTCACTTATAATAATAAACTGTTCCTGTGAATTTCTTTTTTAAAAAACGTATCAAAATTCATTGTCTGCCCAATTAGGTCTACGAGTGAGACTCAAAAACACCTCCTGTCCATTTTTTTTTTTTTTTTTTTTTTTTTTTTTTTACATCAAACACAACCAAGGAAACCAACAAGCATGGAAATAAAATCGTGTTAGCATTTATTTAAATTCACAGTAGCCTGGATGCAGCAGAAAAATATTCTTTGGACTTTAAGTTTGTTCACTTCACTGACAAGATCGAAACGTCAAGTGCCAGTTAAATGTAAAATGATGACAATCATGGATAGCAGTAGGCCTATAGAAAAATGAAGGGTGTAAGCATTTGTACCTCCTGTGGGGGGGGGGCGGGGTGAGGGGGAACGACAAACAATGAAAACATACCTTTATACAACATCTTTTATAGACGTGATATTGCAGAAATATCTCTCTCTGTTATTTTTTAAACAATTTATGCTGGTATACTCTATACACTGGCCCTTTATTCGATGAAATTATTGCATTGTAGGCTTGATTACACCTCCCATATAACGAAAAATCCCTATAATACTCCTATAGGAACCTATAGAGATCATTCAGTATTCCTGTGTGGACTCTCGGGTGTCCACTGACCTTACTGTTCATCTGGAGTATTTTTGTAATTATTTCTCATGCTGCCCTGAACCCATTGTATGTCTACTGGGTCAGCATTTAGTACTCAGTGGTATTTGTATCTGCTGCTGTGTGATGAAATATTCCTGTAGGCAGAGTTTCGCTGTGATATCTCTATAAAACAAACTAATATAGGATTACTATAGGTTCTTTTTCGTCAAGGAGGCTGCTGTTACTTCTCTGAAAATCAATCGCTGTCTGATTTTTCGTCTTTCGACGTGACGGTGGCGTGATTGTACAGTCCCTGTGCCATCAGGTGCAAGGCCAGACTGTTTTTAGTGCCGCTGGCCTTCTTGATTTTGGCCCTCTTGTTCTGAAACCAGATCTTGATCTGGGACTCGTTCAGGCCCAGTTCCTGCGCCAGGTTCTGCCGCCTCTGCTCGGTCAGATACCGGTTTGTCTGAAACTCCGATTTTAGTCTTTGCAGCTGTTCTGCTGTGAAGGCCGTCCGTGGTCGCTTGTCCTCTTTGCTGGTCGTTTTCTTCTTTGGTTTGCGAGATCTTGGCCCTGTAGTGGAGGGGATTTGGGGATATGGGGGGGGGGGGGGGGGGGGGGGGGGTCACAGACACAGATATGTTGGTTTGTCAGTGTCAAAACATGGTCATGAATATGGGCAAAAAATAATAAGATGGGTAAACATTGGCGATGATCAGGCAAAAGGCTGAATAAAAACTTTCTAATCAAAGAGACACATTTTTAGACTTTCTCATTAAAATACTTCATCAACATACTGATCTGCTACTTTTCATATAGGATGCTGCCCACAAACGAATCTAAAGCTGCTGCTTAAAGTGTATTTCATAAAACAATGTAGATTTTAAAACTTATTTCAATCTCCAAAATTTGGAAATAAGTAAACAAATGGCTGTTCAGGCAAATGTTGACATTAGCTTACTGCCTTTAGAAGCTTGTTTTATCTTCAGAAGGAAAAAAAATCACAAATTAAGTTTTCCTGATGCCTCAAAACATTTTGGACGAACGGCTAAAAAAAACAAAACAAAAAAAAAAAACGTCAAGAAGTGATTGTAAAATGTTGGCACGTCCACTGGAGAAAACCTCCCCTCCCTCCCTGTTTCTATCCCTCTTCACTTGCACACACATAGGCTACGTACGTATATACACACACATCATACACACACACACACACACACACTCTGACACCGTCTCTAGTAGTAAGGAATTATTAGCCAATAGGACAACACTGGAAAAACATCAGTGACACATCTGAGCCACTGTTGTTGCAGGTGAGTTTGGGGGGGTGGTGGGGTGGGGGGGGGGACAGGATAAATTTCAATGCAGCTACTTTGCATTTTTGTTTTTTGTGGGCCACATAAAAAGCTCCTCAATGGACAAACGTGAACAGAATCTGAGCAGCACATTAGATACACATTAATTTTCTATCTGGATCGAGGCCTGTTTGTTGGGGCTGAGTGTTTGGTTCCCTCCTCCAAACAGTGAAAAAACACCCCATTAAAACGACATAATACAGGCCGAACTTCTTTACTGATGAATCAGCTTGTGTGTCTTTTTTTTTTTCCTTTTTTTTTTTCGTCTAGCAGCCCATATAAAAACTGTGCAGCTCTACAACTCGTAGTAGTCGCCTACGCCACTCTATACAGCGTTACATAATGCATGAGAACAAGTTGTACTCCACTTTTGATGGACACTAAAAAAAAATACAGTAGATATTAACCTAGCTGCAGACTGAGAAGTTGTAGCCAGTGTTTTCTTACAGATGAAGATTAGAAATAATAGTATATATATTTAAAAAATTTTTACAAAAGCTCACTGGTGGCCAGAGTATACGTGAGCCAGTGGGAGCGTCCATTGTGAAAACATGCATTTTTAATTCATCCCAAACACAACTCGTCTAAAGCTACCGAGGAGCAGAAACAGCCACGACAAGCGCACCAAATAATATTGAGCAGGTTCTGTGGAAAGACGTGCACCCTTGTCAGCGCGCTCATGTTTACTAGCCTACACGTAGGACCCCAGCATTAGCTATCATTCATAACCAGAGGAAATGTGCATGAAGACTGCCTGAATGGGAGCATTTTAGTGAAGGAAAATCTGTGCGTAATAGTTCCAACAAAAAAAAATTGGCCTTTTTACTGTTTTGGCGAGGAATTAAAATATAAAGATTTTACAAAGTGTTACTGTTTTAAAAGAAATATTTTCCTCTTTCTCGTTTGCTTGTAAAACTCCCACCAAAAAGCCACATTTTTTAATTTCATTTATAATGTTTTTTTTTCCTGCATTGCACAAGGACATGTTGCTCGTATAGTCAACCACTGGATTTGCGTTCAATAATATTTCTATATTTTTTAAACAGTTGTGTATGTGGTTAATTCTCAGTTTGCGGTGCACTGCACGGTTCGCTCCACTCTACGCGGCAGAAGTCGGTCAAGGCATCCGGGGTCAGTGTTACGGGGTATTTCAGGTTACCGAGAATACGGTATAGTAAAACGCATGCACGGTGCCACCAACCTGAAGAAGGCCTGTCCGAGTATCTGGTGCAGTAGACCCAGGCTGGCCACAGCATGGGCTGAGACGTGGCTGGGTTTGAGCTGGCTTGGGAACTGTCTGAGTCTGAGCTTAGGCACTGGTCTCCGTTCTCCCCGCGGGGTTTCAGGGGCTCCTCGGCGGCTATAGTGGGCTTCTTACCCGCGGTAACCGTGTGTGGAGTGGAGGTCCCCTCCGCCGGCACCGTGCTCCCCACCGGCTCGGTCTGAGGGGCGGCGGGGCTGTTGTGGCTCTCCCGCGATGCCAGGCTACTCTCTTCGCGGTTTGCGCCCCCGTCTTTTCTCTTCCCGAAATCCGGCCGCAGGATGTTGTCGATGAAGAAATTGGTGACCCGGTGAGGGATCTGCAGGTTCCCCGGCGCCTGTAACAGGGGAAGGATGGCTCTGTTTGATTCATCCGCCGACTCCTGCCGCTCCACCACGTCTCTGTTGCCGTGATCATTTTCTTCCATACTGATTCACTTTCCCCGCTTTACTCTCTTTAACCCCTTTATCGCTCTCTCCGCTGCAATAAAATTCGCAAAGAACTTCAGGGAAATTAAATTTAAAAAAACTGCACGCGTAAAATAAATAAAAAAAATAAAACTCAAATGCTAGTGAGTGGCTTGGACACCATGCAAAGCCTTGCGGTAGTGTCCTCTGAGAAAAGCATACTTTTTGACATATATTCCCTCTATCTCGGGTTACAACTGACACCGTAGAGCTAAAACATGTGCCATTTGCGCACCATCCAATTTAGTGTTATCCGATTTCAGTGTGCTCAGTAATGCCTACACCTAAACTAAACTAAGGGTAAATAAAGAGGCTCCTAAACTGATGCTCTAATACACTCACTCTGGAGTTTTGTTCTTATTTTCAATACGAGCCCCCCGAGTGACGTTTTCCCACCGTCCTCCCAGACACGTGCCTTGGACCAATAGGGTGGCAGAAACCAGGCCACGTGACGCAGACTCCAGAGCAGTCCACAAACGCCCATCCTCGCCTTGGTAAAGGGAAAGAGTCCTGGACTAACGGAGAAGAAACCTAATTTAAATCCTGTGCATGCCCTCGGATACTCCCAATAATTCATCTGTGTTTATGAACATGCAACTTAATTTATTGGAGTTTAAGTTTGCAAAGGAAAACACGATGCACATCGGCTCGTTTGTGTTTCTAAAAACAATGGGAGATTGAAGTATCGGTTGTCAAATTGGGTTGCGGGGACCCCCGGGGTTCCTTGCTTGCAGGGCATGGAGGGATCCCCAATAAAATGAGCAATAGTACATTTTCACTTTGCTTTAATGCACTATAACACATGTTAGTTGTGAAGAAGTTTAATCCTCGACACTTTCACAAGCCCCATAGTTGAATACAGTTTGATTTTACAACCAATAACAAGAGAAATCTGCTCTCGTGAAGCCAGATCAAACGCAATCCCATCAAAATAGAGGAAAATGGCCTCACGTGGATGTATCTGGGGATCCGTGACGTGAAAATCTTTGAGGCAACATGTGTTTGGATATCAAGTGAAATACATCTTTGGACAACAGTGTATAACGGCAGTATCTGTCGGAAATATCTCAGAATACAGACGCATTAAAGGTTATTCTAACACCTGTGAGGTCAGATGGACTCGGAGTGACTTAAAGTCAGTGTCCTGGCCAAGGTTAACCGCGGACACAAATTGCTGCATGTCTGTGTTCTCACGTTTTGAACTGAGGGTGGAGTGACCGTGTTTTCTTCAAAAAATGAATTAAATCTCAAAAGAAAATTTTATTTTATCATTATTATTTTTTGAATCCATAGCAACAACACTTTGTTGGTTGTATAGTGAAATGTAAGCACTCTGGTTTGCAGGATGGTCTAATGCGTCATGTCGCCTCATAATTGGCAACAAAATGCATCAAAAGTGAAACGTGACAGCCCAAGACTGTTCCCTGCGTGATTTCAAACGCGCAGGGGATGTGTGTTAAGTATTTTTTTGATGTTCTCATGTTCGCCTGTCGTGACCCTGCGGTCGACCAAGAACTGGGTCCGTATCCCTTTAAAAGAAATCAGTGATGCAAACAAACTGTTTTGTGCTCGGTGCTCGGGATACTGAGTCGCGCCAAAGACAAAACTTTGAGCAACTTTCGCTGACCAGCACTAAGTTTGTCTTTCTCCTCCCAGGACGCCACCGGGCAGCAGGGATGGCTCAGCCGCTTCTCCGCTGGCGTTGGAACCGGGGCTGCGCGTAAAAAGACATACACACACACACACACACACACACACACACACACACACACACACACACACACACACACACACACACACACACACACACACACACACACACCACACATGGGGGCATCGAGGAGGAAGCAGAGGAGCAGCGAGACTGAGTGAGGAGCCTTTGAACAATTCAGTTAGAAAGTCAGATGCCTTCTTCTTCTTTTTTTATTATTATTACAAGCATGCATTGTCTTTTCCTCCAGGTTCCAGGAAGTGGGAGCAACTTTGATCCAAATGTCTTAAATTAATACTTATTTGAAGCTTATTTTGTTGTAGGCTATAATGTGATTATTTGTGCATCACTGGCCAATCAGCCGTTATGATATGGAGAGCTCCTTGGTTTCTTTGAACTGTGCACACTTGCTGTAAAGGTTGAGGTTTTTTTGGACAATGTGGCGGTTGGTTTTGTGGCCCACAACTATTGTTTTTAATTTGTATTCGTGGCAGGATAAAGTCTGTAATTTAAGCTCAAGTCTAAGCAAGGTTTTGTCCTGCGGGAAAAAAAAATCACATCCTTGACTTTTCACCACTTAAATACGGGCTTTGTGCAAATTGCAAAGCAATTATTGTGGAAGTATTATTACCTAAAATATTTGTTTGGAGTTAATCTGGATTTGTGTTCAAACGCGTCTGGACAGCTCAAGTGCAGCATCACTGGCTACTAGCGGATCTGTGGATACTATTCCTCAATTAGAAGTGAAATATTGCTCTCTGATAACGCTGTCTTATCCAAAATCTACCTGAGCGACACCCACTTGGTCCTATCTCACATGTACCCCCCTCCCGCCCCCTCCCCCCATCACAAAGGGCCCATCCAAACTCTCGGGTCGGCTGCTGAAGTGAAAGTTGGGAGTGAAAGATGTAATTAGACAGGCCACTCTCATGCTGCGATTGTTTCTCACTTGTGAGGGGAAGCGCAGATTAATGTTGAGCGCTAAATAAGCAGCAGACAATGGAGGCACAGACAGGCCGCTACCGCCTGGGCTTGGCCTCTAACCTCCCAGCAAAACAGGGATGTCTGGAGGAAATGACACCGTTTCAGCCTCTGAATTATAATAAGAGCTTGTGTGCACTGCAAAAAAAAAAAAAAAAAAATCCACATATTAACACGCCATCCAGTCTGTTGTTGAGCCCCAAAATCTTAGATTCTCTTAAAAAGTGACACATCTGCCACTGATCTCAGTTGTTTCCATTTTGAAGCGGCGTTTTGGAACAAAAATTAGACTTGTGTCAAGGGAACAGATCGAGAATTAGGTTTGTTACGCACAGGAACTACATTTAAAAAAAAAAAAAAAAAAAAAAATCTGTTAATGAGTGAAACAGCAGAGTGAAGAAGTCATGTCACTCTCAGTCTTTACAATGAAAACGAGCTTCTCAGCTTTAAAACTAGAGCATATGTGTATTTTTTGCAGTGTATACTTTACAAGCCCATAATCCCCACTATTGTGGGCTTTTCAAGTCACTATTGTCTTTCCACTTTGGACCGGCTCGTTTTGGTCCTTGGTGCTGAAAAGACAAAAATAAGTACCGTGTCCTGTTTTAGTAGAAAAGCTCATCCCAACCTTCACCATCGTTGCTTTTACTTACTGGGAATTTCTGTGCTTTGACACATGAGCGAGACTGTGTGCTTTACTTCTCTGGGTGTGAGTGAAAATGTCTTGTAGGGCAGTTTGTCCTGGTTCATTAAGGGTTAAAATATTGTTGTAGCTTTCAGTTGATTTGCATATGACGGTATTGATGTTTTTAAGTTTTTTTTATTTTTTTATTTTCATCTAAAGTCAGGCATAAGAGTCACAGAAAGCTTTAAGCCTTGTTATTGTTTTTGTTACCACAGTCTCTACTGGTGTGTTGTTTTGCTCTATATTGGCTATTAGGTGATAAAGATAATAAAGCTCCTCCATAATTAGTCTTTAGGGTGTGTATTGTTTTTTAAATTATTAATTTATATAGAAAAATATTGCAATTTTAAAATGAAGCTATTTTGATGGCAGCTACATTGTTTTGGTTTTTTTTTATCTACATAGGCCTGTGTTGTCCAGACGCGGGAAAACTCGCATATAAATCAAAAAATTAGATTTTTCCTTTTTTCTCGCTTGTGACATTATCAATAAGTATCCAAGTAAAAGAGCAATAGCAACGTTCATCTCGTGCATGTGCTCATCCAGCAGGCCATGCAGGCTTGTATCATGGGCGTATGTAGGCCTATAGTTTTTGTTGAGGATGACTTTAAACCCTGTGCGTGTGCACTTTTCACACTCTGGTAAAAACACGATCCAGGTCCAGAGAAGACCGTTTCTGCAAAAGCCATTTTTTAAAAAAAAAATTTTTTTTTATTATTTTAACCAATTTCACCAAACTCAGATGTGTCTGAACCCGAAGCCTGCTCTGCCATCATTTCACATGTGGAACACAAACGCTCACTTTTCATATTCAGGTGTTCTTTGCTTTAATTAGCTCTATAGGACTCATGTCATATAACCTCCAAACAGCCGCCAGCAGGCCCACGTCAAATCAATAAGCAATGATGTGAAGTTTTAGAAAATTCTTGTTACAATCTGTAGTTTCGCCAACATAGGATCACCTAATCAATAAGCATTATTTTTTTAGTATTTTAAAAGTGTAGCTACATTGAGAGTGCCGCCTTATGGTTAAAGCATAGGCGGAATAAAATTATTATTTGCCACGAATATATTCTGTTCTTGTTCAGGGGAGCAGGAAATATTGATTATCGCACCAGTCATGTCTGTCAGGTTTTACCAAACAAGCGAATGCTTCAGTTTTCTTCTCTCTGTTCTCTTGTTTGCTTTAAAAAGCACTGGAGCATCTCCTCTGCTTTGCAGGGAAGGGTTAATATCCCCTGTTTCCTTCTTTTTTTTTAATTCAAGGCTGGTAGCGCACAGTTTGAGGGTCTGATTTTTGTTTCTATGCAGCCTATAAATCCAGCAACTGGGTCTATTTCATATTCACTTATAGCTCAACCCACCCCCCCAACACACACACACGCCCACCCCTCCATCCACCCCTTCCGCTTTCTCACATACAGCGCACACACACACACACCACACACACACAACACCACAACATATATATATATATATATATATACACACACACACACACACTCCTCCTACTACTATGATAAATCGTATGCATTGTGCGCATGTGCCCTGTCCTTGAGTTCCTATAACCTATTTTTTCCTCTGTATTTTGCTTGGTAGGATTGTCTTACACGTCACCAGCGCTCAGTACTATGGAGTACTACAAAAGGTGACGCGCAGAAGGAGGATTTGTGAATGGACGCCGTGATGTGTGCCAGCTCACAGATCAGAGGGCGGTGGGACCTCTGCAGATGCACCCTGAGCCCCACTCTCTCCACCCCCCCACCCACCCCCTCCACCCCCCTCTCCCTCCCTCCCTCCCCGGTCACCATCCCTCCCTCCAGATGAATGGGGGTCTCTAAGATATCAGCTCTGTCACCATGCAGGGGTCGGACCAAATCCTCCAGCTTCCTGTGCCTTTCAAAACCTGAAAGCACGTCTCTCCTAT